TCTGCTGACTCTCAGCTCCCTGCCCCTTGGCAGGCGCCCGGCCTCACACCCGCAGCTTCCCCCTCCGTGGTCAGTGCTTCCCACAGGCGTCTTTTGGCTCTCATTTTCTGTGGTATATATCACATTTGGATAGGGTGCATACATGAAAGCAAGAAAACACCCTCCAGGGGGAAAGATCCATGCCTCGGTCTCTTCTCCCACATTCGCCTCTCAGGAACTTAGGTATGCACACACCTGTGCCCAAAGTGTTTTAAGCTGCTGGGTCTGGAACTCGAACCATGATCGACTACGTGGGGTCCAGTGCCCTAACCCACCACACCACCTGCTGGCTCTGTCATTTCTTATTCTTTTTGTAAAAAAACAAGTTATAAAGGGCACTCTGTCATTTCTTATTCTTTTTGTAAAAAAAAAGTTACAAAGTGCATGTGCTTGTCAGAGAGAGAAAGAGAGGCAGAAAGTGAGACAGCACCCCCGGGGTGGTGGGGAGAATGGCCATGCTGCAGACCCTTCTCCTTCACTCTCAGGGTTTTGGACGCACACACACCGGTGTGTTTCTTTTTAGGTTTTTGTCACAGGGCACATAAGACGAGGAAAGCGGTCAATCACTCCCCGGGAGTAATGGCCATGCCACAATCCTTTCTCTGCCCTATCCTCTGGGATTTTCGGCACATATGCACACATATCTGGAGTGATTTTCAAGCCTCCAGGTCCAAGGCTTGAACTGTGATCAGCCATGTGGGAATCTAGCCCCTTAGCCACGACGCCACCCGCTGTCCCCATCTCATTGTGTTTTTCCAGCTGCCGGGTCTGGGACTTGAACTGCTCAGTCATGTGAGATTCAGCACCTTAACCTTAACCGCTGGCTGACCACTGTAGCATTGTTTCACCCACTGATGTTCGAGGGTCTCTGGCCTTCCTGTCTAAGGCACTCCTGCGTTTTGTCCCATGAATAGTCTGTGCCTTCGGTTCTCGTCTTTGTGGTTAACCCACGTGGGCCCATGGAAAGCGCTGAGTGCACGCCTCCCCCTCAGGAAACAGCACACATGGAGCTTGACCCTGTTCAGCAAGGCGAGTGGTTTCATGGGAAGTGTGGACGCTCAGTGAAGCAGGTTCGTGAGCAAGGACCTGCCGGAGGCGGCTGTCAGAGACTGAGCTGGTCCTGCCAGACAGCCATCGGGGCCATCGGAGACTCAGAGAAGTGACTGCTGCACCCCTTGCATCGTTCTGTGAACGAGGAACATTTGGGGATGCTCCGGCGTCCTCTCCTGAGCCACCGATCCTCTGACCGGCCCCAGGGCCCCTCTGTGAACCCCTTTCTCCAGTCCCTACTGTTTTCTCGTCGTTCCCCCTTGAACTTCTCTGGTTTGAACACGAGTACAAACTCAGATGCGGTTTCTAGGTTCAGGTTTTGCTTGTCTCTGCAAGTGAAAAGCGAAGAAACTGGATCACCTGAGGCCCCACCCTTATTTTTCTGCCTTTTCGTTAGGCCTGGATGAGACAAAGGAATGGAGGCTTTCACAGGTTCCAACCCTCATCTCTGATCCTGCAGTCAGGGTCTCTCCAAAAGTGTGCGCCCCAAAAGCTGCGCCCTCCTCTCCCATCAGGGATGGCCAAGGCGCCCCCCTGCCGGTCCAGCCCCGGCCTGCCCTGGCACCTCTAGGAGTCTTGTTCTGAGGCGCACAGTGAGTTTCCCGGGGAGAGCCCCCTCCTCCGCGCAGGCGGCCAGCTCCCACCCTGGGCTTGCTAATGGCGCTTCAGCCGGGATCAGAGTCTCCAAGATAAGTGTGCTTTACACGATGCTCCTGACACTCCATTTGGTGCACGGCGTGTTCTTTTTACTTTACGTTTTTTTGGTTGAGACATATAAACACGCTGAGTGAGACGGGTGGGCTGTCACTTTCCTTTCGTTTTCTCCCTCTGACTGCGGTCACCTCGTTGGGTCAGCGTGCTCCCGGGAACTCCGAACCAAGCCTGGCTTGGTACGTGCAGATAAA